AGTTAAGAAACTCTTAACTTTTTTCAGTAATTATACTTTAAAATTTTCCTGTAATGTCATTTTAGCATCGAAATTAGTGGAATAAATTAGTTTGTACCTCTAATTTCAATGTAAGCATTCACAACGTCAAAATGAGCGATAGTAATTTTCAATTAGCAGAAAAAGTTAAGAAACTTTTTCCACTAATTATACTTCAAAATTTTCCGGTAATGTCACTTTGGTCTAGAAATTAGTGGAATAAATTAGTTTCTTCCTCTAATTTCAATGTAAGGCATTCAGATCGTCAAAATTAGCGGTAGTAATTTTCAATTAGCAGAAAAAGTTAAGAAACTTTTCACGCTAATTATACTTCAAAATTTTCCGGTAATGTCACTTTGGTCTAGAAATTAGTGGAATAAATTAGTTTCTTCCTCTAATTTCAATGTAAGGCATTCAGATCGTCAAAATTAGCGGTAGTAATTTTCAATTAGCAGAAAAAGTTAAGAAACTTTTTTCACTAATTATACTTCAAAATTTTCCGGTAATGTCACTTTGGTCTAGAAATTAGTGGAATAAATTAGTTTGTTCCTCTAATTTCAATGTAAGCATTCAGAACGTCAAAATTAGCGGTAGTAATTTTCAATTAGCAAAAAAAGTTAAGAAACTTTTAACATTTTTCACTAATTATACTTTAAAATTTTCCTGTAATGTCATTTTAGTATCGAAATTAGTGGAATAAATTAGTTTGTACCTCTAATTTCAATGTAAGCATTCACAACGTCAAAATTAGCGGTAGTAATTTTCAATTAGCAGAAAAAGTTAAGAAACTTTTTCCACTAATTATACTTCAAAATTTTCCGGTAATGTCACTTTGGTCAGAAATTAGTGGAATAAAGTAGTTTGTTCCTCTAATTTCAATGTAAGCATTCAGAACGTCAAAATTAGCGGTAGTAATTTTCTCAATTAGCAAAAAAGTTAAGAAACTTTTAACATTTTTCACTAATTATACTTTAAAAATTTTCCTGTAATGTCATTTTAGTATCGAAATTAGTGGAATAAATTAGTTTGTACCTCTAATTTCAATGTAAGCATTCACAACGTCAAAATTAGCGGTAGTAATTTTCAATTAGCAGAAAAAGTTAAGAAACTTTTTCCACTAATTATACTTCAAAATTTTCCGGTAATGTCACTTTGGTCTAGAAATTAGTGGAATAAATTAGTTTGTTCCTCTAATTTCAATGTAAGCATTCAGAACGTCAAAATTAGGGGTAGTAATTTTCAATTAGCAGAAAAAGTTAAGAAACTTTTTCCACTAATTATACTTCAAAATTTTCCGGTAATGTCACTTTGGTTTAGAAATTAGTGGAATAAATTAGTTTGTTCCCCTAATTTCAATGTAAGCATTCACAACGTCAAAATTAGCGGTAGTAATTTTCAATTAGCAGAAAAAGTTAAGAAGCTTTTTCTACTAATTACGTTTCAAAATTTTCCAGTAATGTTTTTTTTTTTGCCTCGAAATAGTTTGTTCCTCTAATTTCAATGTAAGCATTCAGACCGTCAAAATTTGCGGTAGTAATTTTCAATTAGTAGAAAAAGTTAACAAACTTTTAACTTTTTCCACTAATTATTCTTGAAAAAAAGCGAGTAATGTCAATTTGGCCTTTGATTATCATCACTCAAAAAAAATTGTGGCTAGAAATTAAAGGTTTACTGTTTTATAAGCTAATTATTATATTTTCTCTATGGTTGCATTTGACTACCGCAAGTTCTTGCTAGGGTATTCTATTAATTTTAATTTAAGTATTTATTAAGACACTGTGAATGATCGTAAACTCTTAATTATAAATTATAATTGAAACCACTAATTTATTCCACTAATTTCGAGATTCCGAATGAAGCCTTAGTCGTTCAGTAATTGTCGTAAATTCTTTAACATATTTCTAACAGTAATAACAGTAATATTTTAATTGCTATAATTTAATTAACTACTTAAATTAATGGCAATAAATTCCGCATTAATTATTAAATCAAAAACTGATCTTGACATCTAATTTAAAAAAAATACTTAAACAAGCATTTCGATAATTCTTCATTAGTTAAAAAAAGTTCAAAGCTGCACTTATTGGAAATCAAGTTTATAATTAAATAAATTAGATCGACCAATTATCGGCGAGCATCAATTAACGATCTTTGCGATTGGTGGTTTTCTATTTCTATGAAGCACGGAGACAGTGGAAGGCATCTTTAAGGAATGCGGTTGGTTAGTGGAAAATCGTGACGCTGATCGAAAACAAAATGGCGGAAACAATTATACGAAATGGCGAAAGTGAGTTTCAAAGGCTTCAAGTTATAATTAGCTGGTAGTTCGTTTGGTTGCAGGATGCTTTTGACCCAATAAGGTACGACTTATTAGTTCTTGGGTAAGAGGAGATGGTGCTATTCAGAGAAGCACAATCTCGGTAGGTAAACAACTAGCTTATGTAAAGAGAGTTTTGTTATATTGGAAATAACGAAAATTTAAGATTTGTTAGCGTTGAGCTGATTTTCTCAGGATTTGCCAAATTAAAGTATATGAAAACCTGTGGTAAATTTAATTAATTCTAAGTCCTCGAATTCATAATATGAAACATTATAACTCATCATACAGTCTCAGGGCTTTAAAAAAATGATAAATAAAAAAAATAAATAAAAAATAATTGATAAATTACTTATACAGAAGTTGTAGAGAATTTTAGTCAAAGGTATGGTCTGTAGTAAGTAAAGTGATATTATTTTCCTCGATAGTAGTTATTTCTGCTTCTTCACTCCTTGGTATTTTTTGGGGTGGTTCATCACTCTACAAATTAAAAAGAAATGTTACATCACGATTTCAAAGTAAAGCAAATAAATTATTAAAATTATAAGCGTTGGTCACATTTTGAATTTTTTAATACAACGACTTGAAATTCTAAATTTTTTGTAGTTATTTGCATAAAAAATCGATACCTATATTCTTATTCTATCTATAGTCACGCATGCATTATCTAAACAGGTACATGCATTAGGTAAATGTCTCTTACCTTCAAATATAGCAAATAAATGATCTAATTTCCATTTTTCAGAAACTCTTTTAAAGAATCCATATATCCTAAAATTTGTCCATATAAAATGACAAATCCATGTTAATAACGATCACTAATTTGTTATACGATATGCGTTTAAAAAGCAAATTATGCAAAATTGCAAGTGGAAAATTCCAAGCAACAAAACCCGTGCGTACTATGATGTGCAACCTATGAAATGCGACGTACGACTCTATGGTACGACTGATCGGACTATGGATCGAACTGCCGACTGATTGTATATACCGTCCTTCGTCATCGTCTTTGCGTGTCGTTATTATTTTTCATCAAAAGAGTATTTAGCTATTGGAAATATGGCCATGTTTCTTGAATGAAGTACTTCCTAGCGTATTTTTCTTATTATCTTATAACAAAGTAACATGCGCTTGGTTGAATGAAAAAAAATTCAAGAGAAATTTTCGAATTTTTCAAGAGAACCAGTTTTCTTGAGTTAAGAGAGTTTTTCTTCAGGCAAAATATTTTCTTTTACGCTAAAATAAATTCACTTGCCACTAATTTTTTTTTCAAGAACGATGACGACTTTAGTTCAATTCTATCTTTTTTATCAGTGTATACATTACCATACCGAGTGCGTCTCAAAAGCGGCTCACCCCTATAACTTTTTTTATTTTTTCAGATAAAAAAACGAAATTTGGTATGTTAGAATATGATATAAATTAGAATTGATTGATATATATTCAATTCTTTTCGCTCACTTCCTGTTTCACCGAAAGTTACTACAACTTTTGATTTTTATACGGCACCCCCGGTATATTTTTACTTTATTCGATAGAAAATGAGTACTCTGAATAGAATGAGGTATCATATGCTAACTTTTGAAAATTTCGCTTAAGAACAAATCGTTTTAAATTTTAATCTAGAGTGTCATAATTGTGTTAAAAATACTAAATAATACTTAAATTTTTAATCAAGAAGCTTTGAAAAAATAGATTTGACCGTTTAATGCTTTTCGTGTCTTGGCCTGGCCGGTTAAAAGATGCCCAAATCGTATTTTTAATCATATCTCAATTTTTTCAAAAGGAACAAAGGTGGCACATTAGCATATTTGGAAAAAGCATTTTTTACGAATAGTTTGGTACCACACACTTGGTATTTCGAGTCAAATTGTCGTTACGAACCACATGTTACAATTTCAAATAAACCAAATGCAAAAATGTCAAAAGTTGACATATGATATGTCATTATATTAAGAGTGTCATATTCTATCGAATAAAGTAAAAAAATACCGGGGATGTCATTTAAAAAAAGTTGTAGTAATTTCCGGTGAAACAGGAAGTGATCAAAATCAATTGAATACGTCAATCAATCCTAATTTATGTCATATACTAACATCTCGTAATGTCATAAATCTCGTTTTGTTATCTGAAAAAGTAAAAAAGGTATAGGGGTGAGCCGCTTTTGAGACCCACCCGGTATACATAATATATATATAAGACTAATCACAAACGACCAGAAGAAGACAAACACTTGAGCTGTCTGTGGTCATTTGTCAACTAAAAAAAGTAAACAGAAACCAAGAATGAAGTTGGAAACACCCTCGGTGCCAGCTTATAAACAAAAAATACTGACCGGACATATTTAGCAAACAATAACACCCCTTTTTCCTCCACTAGAGCACATATGAAAAGTAAATAGCCACTGAAGAGGGAGAGAAATGGACATTTTGTCCATACAGATCTCCCTTGCGATAACGACACTGGTAGGTGTACGTATTCGGAAAATGAACTGACCATTTTTAACCCCTCTGCCGCGTAAATTATTGAGACAAGAGTCTTTGTCTCTGTTCTTAAGGGAGTGGCTATAGCAAAAGCAATATGGCTCTCTTTTTATGTTGAATGCATATTGACAAGCACTACTTTCTGGCGATTCAGAGCCTCACAGTTATACTCACATGTAGCTGTTTCAGGATCCATCTCGCAGAGTCTGCAGCAAAGAGTTCCTTGATACAAGTTAAGAAAGTTTAAAAGACATTTTGTTGATCAATCCTGCAGTCCCTTTGTGGTTTTAGGTCTAGGTACTTTGATAAAGATCTTGCCATGCCTGTGCTTCTAGACTGAAAAAAATATAAGTAACTTTACAAAAAAAAATTTGATAGAATAGTATATACAGGGTGTCCCAGAAATAAGTGCAAGTATTTGAAGGGGTGATAGATCTCGATAAAAGAAACATATTTTCTCTTTATCGTTTTTCAAATAAGTCCAAAATAAAGGAGTTATTTTACTTTGAAAATTTCCAAAAAAATTATGTTTTTCCTTAATCCAGAGTTGATTTTGACAGACACGTTGCTCAATATGCTCCCTGATGAGTATTTCTGCTTAAGATAATGCTAAGATTTTTAACTGATAGATACAGGCAACCAAAAAATGTTTTTTTCGATGTTTCTGTGCTGGTTTCTTTCGGGAGAAATCAAGAAAAAAAGATACGTATATTTTTTTCGGTCCCCCTTTTAGGTCGTTCGGATAATTCAATGTCTGCAGGGGCGGGATTTCCCCGAAATTTAATTTTTCCGCCGCAGCGACGTCAAATAAACAGCGGGGCGGCAGATTTACCGCCGGTATTTGACTTTACAAATGTTTCCGCTTGCCGCGCAACATCTTCGCCCTATCTCTTCCCACCTTTCGGCCCTTTGTCTATATATTTTTTCCTAAAAGCATCCCCACTTTTGCCCTTTAACCTGAAAGGATCTTGGATCTCTAAGAAGAAACAAATCGGTTTGAAGTTGTTTATCGGGAGAATATCTTATGGTTTTAATAAAACTATTGACATGAGATGAAGATTACAAATTTTCGTGAGTATATTTATGAAAAAAAACAATTTTTTTTGAACATTTTTACATCAGTTTTCAAAGGTCTTTAAAAATATAGTAAACATAGAGGAAGTAATAGAAAATAGAGTCATAAATTTATGAAAATAAATCTATTTGTAGTGAAATTTTATATAGATTCAGAATATACAGGGTGAACTTAAATAAGTACAAATATCTTCAGGGCTGGTATAGACCTCGATAAAAGAAACATTTTTCTCTTTATCGTTTTTCAAATAACCAAATTATTTTACTTTGAAAATTCCCCCAAAAAAATGATGTTTTGCTCAAATTTTGAAAACCACTGGATTTTTTCCGGATTTTCTTCCTTATAAATTTAATCTATTACCTATGTTGCCATACTATCAAAAAATTATGTTTTTTAATTACAAACTAAAAAAAATTTCCAAAATTTTTCGCAAAAAAACCTCATAATCGTGTTACTGGGGTCAAAATATACTACCCCTTAAAATATTTGCACTTATTTAAGGCTCACCCTGTATATGTTACAAACCACATGTGAAAACAGACCGTAAGTATACAGCCTAGGCCGTATCTATATGGGTTAATTTTTTTTGTTTTTTTTTGTTTTTTAAATTTCCGTTTGTGAAAAAACAAGCTGCTTACACATATGGACTAAAATCTTCAGTCCTTTTATATATGGGTTAGCCCTTTTGTATATGGTCTGTAACATACACATGTTTAAATCCTTGGATTCCTTGGTTTTGCGAGAAAATTAATTTTTTACTATTAGTGGTTGAAGTTTCCCTTACAACGGCCTATATTTTCTTATTCTACGCCTTTTAGTTAGCAAATAGCAGGAATTTAAATAAAATCAGTGACATGGCAAAAATCGCCAATTTACATGACTATATGTATGGAAAAAAGTCCAAAAAATACCCATTTTTGGTTATTTTTTACAATTTTTAAAGGTTAATAGTAAATATAGTCATAAAATTATGAAAATGACAGATGTAGAAAATTTTATGTAGATTCAGAATATATCACCTTTGACGGCTTAGAGTCCTTTGTTTTTTGAGCCAAATTAATTTTTGAACCCTTGTTTTTGAGCGACTATCTTACAAAAAAATATAATTTTCCAGCCTCCTCCAGCCAAGGAAAAAAAACGATAACTTTAGCAACTCAATAACCGTTATGTTTGTATCGCCAAAAGAAAAATACTGCAGCATAGTCGTCGACGCAACATCAACATAATTTAATAGCCATATTTTCAGATGACGATGACTTCGGCAGCATATTCTGCAAATAAAAGTAAGTAAAAAAGTTTGTATAAATGTTTGTATGTCCTAAAATTCTTAGTTTCGGAGATACAGGGTGTAGAAGTTTCATTTTTATTTCAATGAAAATTGGTGTCTGGGAGGTTTTAGACATGAGAAATTTGATTTTGATGTCAATATGACTCCTATTTGCAGAGGGCGCCACCTGCATGCGTTTTAACTGGTTTGAAGAGTAGGTAATAACTTTTCGTCTTTATTTTTCGTCTTATTAGACCGAAATCATAAATTTGAAATGTTATTGTGCCAAAAGTTTAACAGAAACTGTTTTATTATCATTTTTTCGAAGAAAAATTTATGAATAATTTTAAAAAAATAAAAGGCTCCCAAATTTATCATTTAAGTCAAATAAATATCTACTCATGATTATTTTCTTTTCAATAATGACATGTATTGACTATTTCCATTTTAAATATCTTGAGAACGGTTGATCGTAGCCATTTTTACTAAGAAACATTTTTTACATAAAAAATTACGGAAATGTACATTTTTTCATTGAGTAGTTCAGAAACTTCAACAGCACTCTTCAAAACAGTTAAAACAAATGTAGGTGGCGCCCCCTACAATTAGGAGTCATATTGACGTAAAAATCAAAATTTTCATGGCAAAAAACTCAAAGACGCCAAGTTTCATCCAAATACTGATGTTACTTCAGAAATGATTTGGAAAAAAATCGAAATAAAAATTACTTCTACCCTGCATCTCCAAAACTAAGCATTTTAGGACATACATGTATACAAACTTTTTTATTTATTTTTATCTGCTGAATATTCTGCCGAAGTTTCCGGAATACAGTTCGGACCACCCTGTATGCGTTATAAGGTTTCTCCTAATAAGGTATCACATAACATCAGCTCTCTACATGATGAGGCATTGGACCGATTCAATTTATCATTAAGCATTCCACACAAATACCCAGAAATGTTAAAACGATTGACGAAATTATTTAATTTAAGAAAAAAACGGATCATTTATATCAGTGATTCCCAAAGTGGTCCAGGTGGACCCCCAGGGGTCCACGGGAGACTTGCTGGGGGTCTACGTAGGCGTGAACAAAAAATGGGGGTCCATAAGATGTTAATGGGGGTCCACGAAAATTTATCTGCTTTTGATAGTAAAGAGCAAAAATGTAAGCATAGTTTTTATAAGCAAAATCGCCGGCACCCCAAATATTTCTCCGTTCCGTTGCCGAAGTTCCATTGTCCGGGCCAGAAAAACGGGGAAGAAATAAATTGCGACAATATTGTAATGCCCCAGTTAGTCTACTTGTAAAATTTCCTCCGTTTAGGGCGGATTTCGATCGTCCGCACCAACACAAACATGCCCATTTTTTAAAAGGTTTTTTGACTGAGAACTATCCAGAGATATACAGGGTGTTTTGAAAACATGTGCCATCTCTCGTGGGGAGATTCCTCACGTAAAAATAAGATTTATTTTTCATATATTTTTAGCTTTAAAATATGTCGCATTTCTAGTAACTTTTCCTTTAAAAATTTCATTCGAAACGCTAAAATTACTTGGAAGAAAATTAATACTTTAACACCCTGTAGCTACAAAACAAAGCAGAATCAGACCTATGTTGATATGAAAAATAAACCTTACTTTTACGCCAGGAATTACTCCCCACGAGCGATGGCACATGATGTTTTTTGAAACACCCTGTAGAAATATCTAACTCTATTTAGCCTTCTTAGTCCATCGCAATGTCTTCCACTCTTCTCTGTCGTCATGTTCATCCTTCTAGTATTCTGTTATTCATACACCTTTCTTTTCTGGATTTACCTGAGGCCCGTCTCCAGAAATCCATTTCTGTCGCATCCAGGGCGTGCGCACCCTTATCTTTTAGCCGTATCTTATCTTTTAGCTGCTATAGCAAACGATGCTTTTAACTATTGTGCTGTATAAATGACGTTCGTTGGATTTAGAGATGCTACCATCCCACATTTCGCCGTTTAACATAGAGATTGCCTTTCTTCCCTGAGCGTTTCTGTTCCTAATGACTTTATCACGAATCCCTTGAAATTTTGGCCCCCAAGTATTTACAATTTATGCAGCCGTTAATATTTTGACCGTTTTCAAGGGGGAGGTTTTCTTGGAATCCATATATTCCGCCTATATAAGTTTGCCTCCAATCCTCATTTGCTGTATTCTTCGATTAGCTTTCTGGTTCTCGAGATCGTCGGAGTCTTGCGCCAGTACTACTTGGTCGTCTACAAAACTTAAGGTATAGAAGAAGAAGAAGAAATTTTAGCTTTCAAGCCGCATCAGCATCAAAGGCTATTTAGCGGCGTATCATCTGCTACTTTAGTTCGGTACAATATTTGACAAAAAGTAAAAACTAAACAACACGTTTATAGACAGATTGTGTATGTTAACAGTACAGACATTGATTTTGTAAAATAAAGTAAATGGTACAAAACAACACAGAATAAAACAATAAAACGTAAAAATGTGTACAATTTAATTAGTAATTGGTTGTAAACCAAAAACCAAACCAAACCAAAATGTAGCTTTTTAGATACCTATATTTTAGATATATATCCCGATCTTTCCAAAAAATCAAAATGTTTTGGTTGCTCACTTGTAGAAAATATAACTGACATGTCTGACGAAAAATTGCAGGCCTCTCTTAGGTTAATTAACTGACTACATTCCTTAAGGATATGTTTGACAGTTAAAGGATTACTACATTTATCACATAGAGGCGGTGGTTGGCCCTTAAGCCAAAAAAATCAAAAATGATGAGAAAACCTACAATGCCCTAACATGAGTCTGTTACTTAAGGTATAGATGGTATTGTCGTTTAATGGGATACCCATATAGCTAAATTTCTTTTTCCATTGTTGCAGCATCTTTTCTCAAAATATTTTGAAGAGCGTTGGGGATAGACAGCAAGCCTGCTTTAATCCTTTATTTGGCATGAACCCGCTGGAGACTGAGTTTTTGATTTTATTT